CTGACAGGAAATGTCAGCCCTACTGACGTGAAGCAGCTCAGCATTTCCCGTCCCAGTTGGCCCAGGCTCTCCAGAAAGCGCCTGTTGTGTTGCGGCTAACAAGGCCGCGGTGTTTTAAACATAGGGTGCTGCTTGCTCCTGGAGAATGTGCTGGGTTCGGTGCCTGATAGGTCCGGTGTAACATCCTCAACCCTTGGAGACAGACCTCTCGAGCCGGCAGTGTGTTTTACCCCCGTGGGACTCCTCTTGCCCTCAGCAATCGCCGTTCACTCTCAGAGCTCCATGCTCCGGCCTTGAGCATTCCCCTCCGCTTTACCCACATCACGCTCGGGGGTTGTCTCCCACGAAGGAAGCCACCACTGTGCGGATATCATGGCATATGAAGTGTTTGCGAAGGCGCTTGTAAACTTCCCAGGGCATGAGATGAGTTTCATTTTGTGTTTAGAGGAGCGTTGTCGGTCCATGCCAGGGCAATGCCAGTGTAATCGTATCAACAGTTAGTTCAGCACTGCACAACAGGCAGTCACAAACCTCTTCCCCTTTCTTGCCAAACAGGAGTTATTTACCCTCACGTTTGATTCCCCAGGATACCATGCAATTATAGCGTAAAATTTTGTCATGGGTTAGGCCGCTCCAGCAACCGAACCCGACACAGTCGCTCACTCACCTTCCCCCAGCCCCAGGGATGAGGGAGAGAATTAAAGGAGAAACGGGAAACCTGTGGGTTGAGATAAGAACAATTTAATACAGATGATTTAATACACAGTGTAGATGCTCACCACCCCCTCGTATCTGCAGCCCGTCTTGTCCCGAAGCTGCAATCCCGGACAAATGTGAGGCCCCAAAATAGAGAGGGAGAGAGACAGAGAGATAGTACTCCGAGAGTGGGAGTACTGGGAAAGAGGAAAAAAAAGGCAATAGAGCAAAAGCGCAGCAAGCGCAAAAGAGCAAAAGCGGCGAAAGAGCCAAAGCGCAAAAGCTTTGCTGGCTGCCCCTCACCTTTGTACTGGGCATGATGCTGCACGATATGGAATACTAATTGGCCAGTTTGGCCCTCAATTGTAAGTTCCATCACAGATCACAAGGGGAATCGTGTCCCCCTTGTCCCGGCTATGCTCCCCCCTTGTCCCACCATGCTTCTGCACGCCAGCCAGAACACGGCATGCTGAAAAGTCCTTGGAGTTTCACTTCCAACCACAAACATCAGCTTGCTATCAACATTCTTCTCAGAGCGAGCCTCTGAGTAAAACCAAAACACGGAGCTCTTCTAGCTGCTAAAAAGAAGAGCTGACTCTGTCCCAGCTAAAACCAGGACAAATTTAAAAAACAAAGGTTTTCCGTGAGGATTAGTTATCTAACGTGTTAGTACGATTATCCCTACCGTGTTGTCTCAACTCCTCACGTACAGCAAGGAACACATGGGGGAAGAGTCCGCTTTCTATACACTTGAGATGTCAAAATCCAAAAGCATGCCTGCTCTCAACATAAATAATTTTATCTATCGGTTGAGCAGTGAGGAGGAGAACGTGAGAGAAATAGGGAAGAGGAGCAAAAACCAGCGGAGAGCAGAGATGTCAGCCTTGCCTGCGCTGAGTTGCTTCCCTCTCTGTGCAGGCAGCGTGAACGTGCTTTTGTGAGAACACAGTTACAAGTCAGTCTGGCTAAGAACCCCGAAAAATACTCGATAAATGAGGGACTGAAGCGCCCTTCGTGTGGCCCCAATTATGGGTGTATATGGTGAGTAGGGCAGAAAGCTCTTGGCCTCTGAACTCAGGTGGGAAGGAGCGACTCCAAAAATACAGATTTTATTGTTCACCGCTGACAGTGAAAACCCCGGGAGTGCTGAGAACTATGCTGACCCTGAATGCACGTGCTTTGTTCTTGCTTTGTGCTGATGTTATCCCTTGTGTTCTTTCATGAGGTGTGCTTAGCTCGTCTTTCATTTGATTGAAGGCAAGCCGTTCGAATGGCTTCAGAAGGGCAGAGAGAGGATACAGAGCGTTCATCTGAGCCTCCTGCAGCTCCTGCTCAGAGTGCCAGAACATTGCAATGGGGAGCCATACTTGCTGCAGTGAAAGATCAGCTCCCATCTCTGGACTCTGATGCCTCCACAGTAAGCACTGGAACCTGCCTTTCTTTCTTGCCGTCTTTTAGAGAAATCTCTCAAAAGCAAGAGAAGGTCACCTTAGCCAGGCATTTCTGAGTGGCTAGTATGGTGGCCTTGATGGGCTACCTGTTCTGACTGTTGTAACGCTGAGTGTTCATCCACAGCCTTCTAGATTATCTCTAATTGTCCAAGTGTAATTACCATCTCCTCTCGCTGTATTCTTAGGAACCTGAAAATGAGACTGATTTCTCCAGGCAATAGGTATTTCTAGGTTGGGAAGAGGAAGGTAGTGGGCATCTTGCAGAATGAGCCTACCTTTCTTCTTATTTCGTTCAGTCAAAAATAAGTATGAAAGCAGCATACTGCTGGCTTAAAATGAAATGATAAGGTTTTATGCTTGAGAGTATTATGGTATTCATTCCGATAATGAACTTGCCAGACAGTAGGCCTGTTAGTATGTTTTTCTATGTATGAGGATCACAGGAAAGTGATATTCCTGGGGACTTTGTGGTTCACTGGAAAAAGCATTTGACATATTTCAGTCCTGGATTCTGCTTTTTTTCCCTTCCTGTAATTCTCTGCAAACCACGTTGCCTTTTTGTGCTTCAATTCTACTTACAAAGAAGCATAATGCCACTAACCTTTTAATATAAAGCATCATGTTGATAGATATTGTGCAGTATTCTTCACTGTTACAGGTTTTTAACTTGCTGGGTCTTAGTGTCTGGGCCAGGCTGCCTCTTGGCTGCTGAAGATCTCTGTTCACAGGACAGCAGCAATCTGGTGGAAATAATAAAAGCACCTACCTCTCTAGTCCGAGATATTTACTCTGGCATTGACTTTTCCAAGGTGATAATGTATCTCAAGACTTGATTACTAGTGGCCTTTTGTCCAAATCAGAATCTTTTGTTGATTTTCAAACAGGTATAAACTTTAGCAAATATATTTGAACACTTAAAGGATATGTTTTATTGTAACTTAATGTGGCCCTTAATGATACAAAGAGAGTCTTGTGTGTAGTGATGGAGCCAGAAATCCCTCCATGGGGTATTTATTACTTATTATTAATCAATCATCAGAGTGTAGATACTGCTTTGCATTCTAAACAGAGAATGACAGGGTCCTGATTGCAATAACGAGCCTTCGTGGCCCTGCCCAGTCTCAGCTGGGGCTCCCACCCACATGCCCCTCAGCTCTATTTAAGCTCAGCTCTGGGCCTTCCTTCTTTGTCAGAGCTATGCTGGAGGAGTACTGGTTTCTGTCTGCAGTCCTGCTTGATCCAGGCTTTTACCTGCGTGTTGCCTTTCAGGCTTCATCTCAGCTGCCTCATCACCATGCTGTTGCCTTATGCTCTAGGTTCTCGACTCAACCTGGTCCCTGCCTCTGGTCTGTCCTGCTTACTCCTCTTAGGTGCTGTGGGACTGGGCTTCGCCTGGTGAGGCCCTTTCCTTTCCAGTTACATGCTTCCTATCCCAGCTCCCCTTAGAGAGCAGCCGTGCTCTTGCTACTCTGGGTTGATGAATGAGGAAGTGCAAAGAATCACTTGGGAATTAGAGAACTTGCCCACCCTTTTCATTGCTTTGCTCAGAGGGATGTTAGTCAACCTCCACGGGAATTCAGTCCTTTACAGGGATTTTACACGTGTGGCTTGCTCAAATGTTAGGCTGCTCTGAGACAGCTGGGGGTGCTGGGCTATCAGACTGTCTAGTGAAGATGTGACTGCAGGGAAAATTCTAGTCTCTGAACTTCAGTCAAGTGGTGACAACATAGGATTTGTCACTGAAAAACAGATCTTTAGGTGAGTATTACAGTCTCTCATTTAATTTCTCTTACCTTGTTTGCAGTCGGATTGTGAGAGCGATGGGGAGCTTTTCATCTTTCAGCGGGAATGCCCGAACTTAATTCCTGACCTGTCAGAAGAACTGATGGAGTTTTCCCTGGAAGACTCAAACATGCAGGTTGTTGACTGTTGTGTGCAGGCTGTGCTACTGTAACCCCCTGCTTCTGGTTGTCTCCAGTGTGGGTAGCTGCTGGGGTTTGACCTATCTGACTGAGTTGTGTGATGGAAGAGTACAGTCCCCAGTACTTTCTCCCACTAGAGACTAGGTCTTTCTTTCTCTTTAAAATTTTCTCTGTTCTTGAGATTTTAGACCTTTTGAGTGCCATTTCCTTGCGGTTTGTATTATTGTCCTTTTACTGTTTGTTTGTGGATTTTTCCCTGTGCACTTACAGTAACACTGTGCAATGACTTCTAGATTTTTTTCAGAGTTTGAAATAATTTCAGCCACTGTTTTACATATCTAGAAAATATAGAATTAGTTAGGACAGTGTAGTAAGAAGGATGAGCATGAAGTTTATCCCTTGACCAGTTTTTCTGAGATAGAATTATTACATTGCTTCTGTGGTGATGAAGATTAGCTATCGTAGGAAGCTGGAGGAGGAAGCAGCTGACCCTACTAGTCCATCATGGGAGGGCTAACATTGTGCTGCTTTTTCCCAGTTTTTTATCTTGTAAGATATCTTTTATCTTACAATATGACATCGTAAGAAATGTCATACGATGAGCATGTGTAAGGAAAATTAATTTCAAGGATGTTTAGTATTTCCTGAAGTTAGTCTCTGAAAAGTAAACAGTCTTACTGATTTCCATGATGGATATGGTGCATGCTGTTTTCAGATGGTGTCTGAGTTGGAGCTGCTATCTTCTGATCACTTTGTTTGGGTTTATCGTCAGCGTCTAAAGCTTAGGGAGATATGACTTTCTGCATGTGTATATTTTCTCTACCTGTAGCAAACCCAGGAAACAGAAAGATATCCATGGGAGATCTGGAACAGAGATCTGGAAAGCTTTGGCTTTCAGAAAAAAACAGATGGTGCCCAAATCATTGCAAAAGAAGATGTACAAATGGTTAAAGATGAGACTTCCAATCTTGCCAACTATACTGAAGAAATTCCAAGCCAAAAGGGAGCTGTTCTTGAAGAGTCTCTTGGAGATTCCACAGATCACCTTGAAGATAAAGAACTGGGCAGGAGACAGGCTGGGGAAAGAGGGAACTCTTGGCTTGATACAGCATTGTCTGTGGAAGAGCTGGGCAGTCACAAAGAGAGAAGAAAGCTGATAGAGACAAAGATGCTCTCCAAAATAACTCTGGAGCCGTCTCCAGGCCACCCAGAGCTAGATGTGGAGCCTCCCTCACATGGAATTAGCAACAGTCTAGGAAGAGTTGCTAAGGAAGAAATCTCCTCAGATGATCATCTTCAAGAACTGACTCATTTGTCTTTGCAGGTAAGTGGCCCAAAAGGCTTTGGGGAATGCTGCTCGTGGGGTGGAGGGCACAGTGCATTGCTTGTGGATTCCCACTAAAATGAAGAACAGAAATTCCAAGTTCTGCACATACCACAGTGGGTTTTGTTGCTTTCATTGTTGTCCTGAATTTGGGGTTTGTTGAGTCATGTGCTATACAAGCTACCAACAAAATACCTTTGTCTCATAGATCTGTTGTTAGAAGTCCATAATGGTGACAAAAGCCGTGGGTCAGCAGTGTGGCTCATGGTCTTGTTCAGGAAAGCCGGCCACCATGCCTGTCCATGGGAAGGCAGGGAACTCTTCTGGTCATGGGCAGACTTTGCATTAAAGCAGTGAGCTTTCCAGCCTTCCACCATCTTGTCTTTTCTGTAGTGCTGTGGTAAGGCTAGAAGTGAGAACAGGAGGTGGTTGGGGTTGTTCCTGAGCTCTTAAATCTCCCCTACCTAGGACAGGTGCTCAGGTCTGTGGGATGACTGGCTCATGTGTTTTTAACTGGTCTATGGCTCCAGTGTGGAGAGGTTGTTCTCTTTCGTACTACAGTCGTAGATCTCTACTTCCTGCATTGATTTTTAAGGTCATTAGGACTTAATCAGCACAGAACATGAACCTGATATTTGTGTTCAAAGCCCATAGAATCCTTTCCCCTTTCATCTACACTCACAAAAATAAACTTTGGTGTTAGAGTGATTCTAGTGTAGGCAAAGAATGCAGGTGCTTGCCTGGTTTGGTTTTGGTTTTGTTCTTTAATTGTGTTTCGTCATTTAATCATGTGGTTATTGGAGGACATCTTTTTCAAGAGGTTGTAGGTTTAATTCCCATCTCACATTGTATAAGTCAGTGACTCTATTAGTTCAGGAGGCAGGATTTTCCTTTCGGAACCTGTTTGATCTGACTGACTTCAATGAAATGAAGTCAGATGCTTTTGGGTGAATATTGAGACCAGACTCAGTGTTTTCTCATGTTCATGAAGTGAGGGCGAAGCTGCATCCTGTGTGTGTTCAGATTTGAAAGCTGCTTGTTACTTCCCAGCTCAGTGAGGTACCTCAGTTTGTCAAGTACAGTTGCTAAAACTAATATACAGTTTCTTCTTGATTCTAATCATATCAGTTCATTTGAAAATGATCTTTTTCTTAAAGTCTACTTAAGTCCCTTCCTGTGTTAGAAATGGAATTGTGCAAACCTTAGTTTCTTCTGGACCCTGTATAGTTCCTTACAATAGTGCTATTCTTCTTAAGGATTAAGAGGATAAAGCCTTAATACAGCAAATTAGATGCTGGTTTGATCTTTTTATTATAATGGTTTGTATTTAAGTGCTGTTGTTGAAGCTTAGTACTACCTGCTTCATGATTAAAGCAAATGTGTTGTCTTTCCCTTCAGGCTGTTTGATAAAGCAGTACCTGTACTGACCTGTGACATGGTTCTCGTTGTAGTAAGCTCAGTTGTCAGTCATCCTTCACTCTGCCAGACCAAAACATCTCAGTGACATTGCTGAACCAGTATTAGCTTTGTGTTGGTGCAGGAGACTTCAGCTTGTGACTTTCATCAGGCTTTTACTTCTCATCGGCTGTAGTTTCTGATATTGGAATAGATCTAATGGTGGTTCAGGTATGTGTGAAGATTTATTGCTCAGAAAAGAGAGAAAATCTTTTCTTAAACGGGAGAAGCAGATGACAGGTTTTTACAAGGTGAAACTGCATGTTTTGGAGATTGCTTCTGCTTTTCTAAAGCTCTTGAGTGGTCATATGAAATGCATGTTAGTTGTAGTGGTGACATAATTGTTGTAATTGACAGACATAATCTTCCTTTTAAAAAAATCATGAGTATGTCTAAGTTCTGGTGATGGTGTTTCAGATGGATGTGGATATTTTTAATTAAAACTTTCATTTCAAACAATATTCAGGGGGGAAAGCAATCAGTGCTTTAAATGCAGGTGAACTTTTGTCGTCAAACTCATCCTCACACCTAAGTTAGCAGCTTGCAGTGCATGTCCTCAGCCAGTGCATGTGTGATTGATGATCCTGTCTTCAGTGTGGGATAAGCGACTGTGAGATAGCATCTGATGCTGACTGTACCTAGAGAAGTAGGAAATTGCCCAGGTTGGAAGTTGAGGGAGGAGGAAAAAGCTGTGGGTCTCATCTCAAAGAACTGAAAAGCCAGAAGTCCTTCTCATGTTAGTGGCAGTAAGTTGTTCTTGGCCTTATTCAGGACCAGAATATGTATGCTTGGTCTTGTATCACGGCATCTTTTAATCCGCTTTGCTATTTCAGGTGGTTTTCTCTGCCTGTATCAAAAGGGTTCATGATTCTCAGAGAAAAAGCCTCAGCAGAAGTGAATGAAGCAGCTGGATAGATGTGCTGTCCAAAGAGATACAGTAAATATGTTCCTCTCATTATAGCACTTCCTTGTGGAACTGCTGGAAGGAAGCTGGCAGTGTAGTTAGGGGCATCATCTTTTGGAGGGATGGAAAGAGAAGTAAAAGATGTGGGGATCTGGTACTGTTAGTGTGTTTGAGGGCTGAAGGGGAGTACTTGCTGTTGGAAAGAGACTTCAGCATGTGAATGTGTGTAATACTGTATGTAGCCATGTGCAGGATATAACATGACCTACGTCCCAGCTTAAAGCGAGAAGGGTCAGGTGGATATTTAGGACTGACTTATTTTTCCTTTTAAGGAGCTGTCAGTTCAGTCCCTGCTGGAAATGTCTTCTAGAATTTGCAGGTTTAAGTGTGGAAGGAGAGAGTACTCCACCTTTGTTATATTCGAATGAACGTTGGTTAATCCTTCACTGGTTTCTCCTAGTGATGATACTGGGTGTGGCTGTGCTAAACGTGCAGAGCCCTGGCAGTGCTGTGAGACGAGCAGTGTTCAAACAGTAAATATCCTTTTGTTAGTCGTGCCAGTTGTTGAGGCTCATGCTGAAGCAAGTGTGTCCCCAGCAACACAGTGGTTTGTTTCCTGGCAATGACAGTGATGTAGTACTGGAGATAAGTAAGGTGAACTTCCATGCCCTTTGTGCGTTTATATGTGGTGGGAAAAGCTGATGGAGTTACTATGAAGAATGAGTCAAAGGAACTTTTATTTCGTAGCAGTCTTTTGGGTGGGAATTTTCCATCACCTTTCGACTGTCTTTTCAGAATTTTGGGAAATGGGATCTAGACAAGATTCTTGAGGAGCTGGAGCAGCAGAAAGGTAATTTCATTATGCAGTTGCTTTTTCCTCGGCAGATCGTGGTAAGTAAAACTCAGGTTGCTGTCTTTAAGTCATTTCCTTCAGCATCATCTTGAATGTTGGAATCATAGTGTTTTTTTAATGCCTCTGTAAAACATTTTTAATTAATTAGCTTTCCTCAAGACTTCATTTTGCTTTTGTAGCTCGAAACCAGTGTGTTGTGACCTGTCATGGCCTAAAAGTGAATCAGGCAAGATAAATGAAGGTTTGAAGTCAGTTTGTCAGAGCTAGTTGACAGTGGTATCTTTATCCTTCCCCTTCTGCCAGGCTCTAGAGAAAGGGGCAATGTGAAAATGGGGAAAGGGTATATTGAGTGATCCCATGGCAGAAGACCACAACTGGTGATTCTTTTTGTTGCTCTTCCATAGAGACCTTCAGGAGGAGGTCTGAAAATGAGCTCATGGAAAAGCTAGAAGAGCTGTGTGCCAGGCAGTCCAGGACAGTGTCTCCACACTGCAGGTGGCCATCAGCCAAGCTCTCCTCCTTTCAAGAACAGCAAGAGAATAAGAAGTAGGTCCTTTTCTGTCATACGCAGTAGGTAGCCATGACTGCCAGTAGGGATACCTGGAAACTCCTGGTGTTCTGTAGGTGCTTTTCTCTGTAGCCTCTGCAGAAAGTTGATAGCGTAGTTGAAATATGCTGCAGGGATATTAAAGGGAGAAACTAAGCCTCAGTCATTCGTGCACACTTGATGATAAACAGTCAGTATCCTGCCACCTCAGAGTTCTCCAACAACCACCACCTTTCTCTAGATCTTACCAGACGCTTGGGACAAATAAAAGGCAGGAAAACAAGGCTAAGCAAATTATCATGGCCATGTTTTTTGTCATCTAGGGTACCAGTTTCTCTTACTGGTACCTCAATTTTGCTAAAGTATACAGGATGGTTTTCTTTGTAGGTATCAGTGGAGATGTCAGTGCATCTTGGAGGGGTCTGTGTGAAGGAAGTGGAATTCCAGGCTGTTCGGAGGGAGCACCATCAATGGTGGCAGCGCAGAGGAAACAATAGTGAAACAGGCCTGTAAAGGGGAAGGTGCAATGAGGATACTTTTCCAGAGCAGGAAGAACCATGAAGATGACTTGCACTTTGTATGTTCTGAAGCATAAAATAGAACTGCCAAAGGAGACAGAGAGGAAAAAGGGACCTGTTTTTACTGATTGGCACTGGGCTCTTAAAACTTGTAAGCTCTTTGGTACCGTGACTGCCTACCTTTGTTCTACAGGAGAATTTGATGTCAGTTTTTAAGAACTAAACATCCCTCATCATGCTGCCTGTGATCTGTATGCCTCAGGGGAAGCTGAATCTTTGAGTTTGGCTTTGCAAGGTGGTGGATAGGAGGCAGAAGCAGACTTTGAATCTGTACAGTAGCCAAGCACAAAGCTCCTTTCACAATCCGGTTTTGATCATAATCCACACCCTGCAGGACTTCTTGTCTGGATAAGGCAGAGGACATGCTGAAACAGTGTTTTCTATACTTAGGGATGTTGCCTTCCTATCAGCTTCACGAAGTTCTCTACAGATGGACATCATGAGATTACAGTGCCTGCCAGAGCCTGTAACCGTCTACGTAGATTTAAGAGATCCTAAACCACAGAAGTCAGTAACGTTCCTTGATGAGAAACAAAGGTAAATTCTGCCTTTATTGTTAGTGAGGAGTAAATAACAAAAAGTAGGAAACAAACCTTCTCTCTACAACTCATACTTGTGAAACATAACTTTAAAAGTGTTCTCTTCTTCCACACCTCTGTTGCCTTAGTAGGAAGGCATAGCCCCTATCAGAGCACTGACATATTCCTGGGAGAGAATAATTTGTCACAGCAGAAGCAAAAGTGCGGGGATGCAGGCAGCACAGAAAGGACATGCAAATCATTCAGGGAAATAACACTTAAGTTTCTGTCTGTAAGGAAGTGGGCAGTGACTGCAAAGCAATGCTTGCAGCTGTCTGAGTTAGGCTAGCATTCTGACAGCACTGTGTACAAAACAGGCATCCTTGACTGCGTTCCTGGCAAGCAACTGTAGGTGCTGATTTCTATCTCCTGTGTGATAAGAGGGCCTCATAGTCAGGTATGGGAGACCAAATTCTTCTCAATCTGCGACAGATTCTGGCAAACATGTCCTTTCCCTGAGAGCTAGTGGTGTCTGAGGTGGCTGTTTGCTCCCTTCTCAGGGTGCCTATTTGCTGCAGCAAGGGGTTGAAGAAAACAGCCACCAGAAGAAACCTTGTAGCTAACAAACAGCTAACACATTTTGATGTAGTTGCTTGAATTATTTTTTTTTTGCCACAGTAATAGTGTGAAGAACTATCCATAATACCTGGAAATCTTCTCTGAAAGTGTCTCCCTTTTTCATAATGGTTCTAAATTCACATCCTGGAAACAACATGAAGCCAACATCCAGTTGGAACAGAGTTAATTAATATGGTCTAATTTGTTTCATAGTGCAAGCGACAGCTCCACTGAAGAAGAAGAGGCTGTGATGATTGAGGACCAAGCAGAAAGGAGAATGTAAGAGTCTACCAGGACACTAGTTCAAATGATACGATGTTAATTTTTTCTGAAACTACAATAATTGCCCTGACAGGGATTGGAGTGAGAGCTTGTGTACTGAGATCTCCATTCCTGGTCCTCACAGCAAGAAAGCCCAGTAATGAAAGTGTTTCAGTCTGGCCCCAGAATATCACTCTTTTCCATTGCATAGTAAAGATACTGAAGCTAGAAAGCAGTTGTTGATCCTTGAGGCAGTACGGCATCTTGCTCCTGTACAGCTGCGTGGAAGTAGCTCAAAAGACAAATAGAGTAGACCCGAGAGGCTGGGAAACCTGACTCTTTCTCCAGACATGTTTGAGTGACATGAGAACTGGTTTTAAGTGACTCGGAACCAGATTTGAAAATGTCGTAGGGGGCTGACTTAGACAAACCTTTATTTATAGAAATAAAATAGGCTAGAATGGATGTTGATTTAAGGAGAATATTGGATACATTGTGTGGGCAGGGATGCTCTCAGTTCTCTTTAACTAGGGAGGAAGGAGGGGGGGAAAAGGGAGAGAGTGTGATGGAAGGAATCCTGAACTGTAAAATCTTCAATATGCACAGATGCCAGCCTTTTCCTGTTGCTAAACTCAGGGCTTGATTCATACCCGTAGGTTATTAGACACTTGTTTAATATGAAGCAAATATGTCAAGCTTTAAACATCTTACTGCATTTATGCTCTGGATTACATTTAGAAGCCTGATGCATGTAAGTTCACATTACAGCAGTGCAGAGGACAAGCAGAACTTTTTTATTGTTGGCCCAGCCAATTACTCTTTTTTTAATAATTTGAAAGAATAAATGATTCAACAAGGAGCGGACCCTGAATACTCAATATAATTTAGAACACCTAATACAAAGCCAGCATAAAGCAGGGGCAAGATGATGCTTGGGGAACTCTCACTGGCACTGATGCAAATGCAGAAGTTGCATCGGTGTAAATCTGGAGTGATGGAGAGCAGAGCTTAGCTGATTAGATTTTGATTCATTTGAATATTGCTAAAGAACATAGACAAATGAAATGCCTGGCAAACATTATTCAGTTCTATTTCTGAGTAAGAAAGCTTCATGGTCGCAGCAGGGCAAGATTCTGATCTTAGTCACGAGGGTTCAATGCCACTTTCACTCTTACCTGGATGGGATTCTTAAACAGGGCGACATATTCTATAGTACGATATACCTACATATTATTAGGGCCTTAGAGGGTTTGTTGTCTTGATATCCAGGCACTTAGCCTAGAAAATAGGCTGTTGGTTTATCCCTGGAGTGCTCAGGTAGTCAGTGCCGTCTCTAGAACTATACCATAATGCTGCTTTCCAATATATGGCTGCCTCCTAAAATTGCCACTACTTAGGCATGCTCCTCAGTAGTCCAGCCATCAATGTTCAATGTTGATGCGGTGGTTCTGGATGTGATGGCAGGAGCTGTGAGTTCCTTATGGAGAAAGGATGCTCTCCATCTGATTTTCCTTTGTTCTGAGAAGCCTAGGTTTAGTTAGATGAGTACAGCAGTATGATGCTGTGTCCTCATACATACCACCTAACAGCATCACCAATATCAGTGGTTCCTCAGTCCGTGTACTTTTCAGCTACCACTACAATAAGGTATATTATTGGCTCATGATCTCCAGATGAGCTACAAATTGATGGCAGTCCTCCTGTGGCAGGTGACTTGGGAGACTCCTCATTGAACAGAACTGCAAGAGAAAATAACCTGCTATGTCATGATAAGACACTTCACGACAGAATACTATCATGGTATTGTGGTTCCTGACAGTTTAGCAATCTCATTATCCCAGAAGAGACATGGATGAAATTAAGCCAAACACTCAAAAATCCTAAAAATTATTAGAAGAACATTTCTTCTGTATGTATTTGGATCCTAACCCTTGTATCCAAGGGGGGCTAAAATCTGTAGACTCTAATTTCCGTGCCGACTTTACATTTGTTCAGGGTTATTCTAGTAGGTGTGTGTTGTGTCCAAAATGCAGAAGAGGTAAATAAGTTGCCAGTAAGACAGGTTTCATGTTCTGTCACTGTAATGTTTTGTTGCCTGTGTGCTGGTGCTGCTATTAACCAACAGCTGTTATTCGTGTAGATGCCCAGTCCTTGTTTTGAGCTGTCACTCAAATGAGAAGTTCCTCAGAGTTTGAATTTATTTATATAATGCTTTATCTTGATTAAATCAGGTTGTTATTTTCTTTGCAGGAGGAATTGCTCAGGGAAAAGCCTCCTACTGCAACAACTCCGTACAGCCCGTAAAGAAGCCTCGGAGCTTCTCCATAAAACATCTACCCTGGCTGAAAGACTTGAAGGCATAGAACAGGATCCAGAAAGTCTGGAAGAAAGAGGTTCCTCTAAAATAAGTCAAACCCAACGTTTTAAAGTGAGGCAAGAGACAAATAAAGTGATTCCCAGGAAACTGATGAGATTGAAACCAGAGAAAATAAATACCCCCTTGTCAAGTCGTGGGGGCAACGGAGCTGGTATAGAAAAAGAAAACAGAATGGAAGCTGAGAAGGCTCAACATTCAGGAAATGCTCCAGAGTCTGCTCTAACTCTCACTGAACTGCCAAGGTATCCCATAAACCAAACCAGAACAGTATCAATTGAGGAAATAGAGGACCTCTGCCTCCTTGGGCTTAATGTGGTGTGTTCTGTGTAAGGTCTAATTTTAAAGTGAAATCAGGCGGTTGCCTTGTGCACCTGCCCAGCTATTTGGGAGAGCTCCATTGTGCTGACTTTTCAAAGGTTATGTTCTCTCTGCTATTTTCAGAGTGAAATTTAACATTTTGACTTTGACATATGAGCCCTTGGAAGAATTAGAATCTGCTTGCTCTGGAGACTATTACTTTTTCAGTGTTAAACAGTTGCCTACCCTGCCACTTGGGTGCTTCAGCTCCTCGGTTTAAATGGCAGATGATTGGTTGCAGGTTTTTTTCTCGATGGGGTTCCTGACATTAAAGCTCATTGCTTCTGCCAGTTCTATAAAACTCCATTTTGTCTACCCATTAGCCTGCCACGTAGATGGCAGACCATGGCTTGGCAAGAATCTGGGTTGTTTATTGTTGCTGAGTAGCAGCTCACAATGATTTTAACTAATTTCAGTTTTCTCTCTTGCTATTCTGATTATTGTTGGGGCACTTGGGGCTTGAGGAATTCAGAAGAAATTGAACTTAATGTTTGCCGTGGAAATGGTGCATGAAATCTTTCTGCAGATGTCAAAATGTAGATGGAAAGCCTTGGTTTGGGGGAGACTGTCACTGTATTACAGCAGATAGGAAAGGAAACAGAGTTAGACTCAGAATTTTGGTGTGGAGATGGGGAGTGACACATCACAAACATGCATCTGCTTAACGGAGTTCCGGTCTCCAAATAGGTTGCCACCACTTATCAGAGGTTTGAGGTCTGCTCCTTTTCTTTAGGGGTTTTTTTTGAGAGATGATTCCATCCAATGACAAGTTCTTGTATGTCCCCACAGACACCATAAGTGTTTTCTAAATCTATTTTAGCCTTTCATGTCATGATTCACCCTCAAGTGTGTGGTATAAATATAAGAAAAAAGAAATGCAAACAAATGAACAAGGGTGCTTTTTTCTCCCAAGTGAAAAGCTTAAGCAAAGCAGAATCTGTATATTTTTCAGGACAGAAGAAAGTGAAAGAGAGCTATCCCAAAAGGAAGAACAGATGAAAGAGAGACACAGATTCCAGGAGCAGCTGGAGAGACTGCAGCCTCAGCAGTCAGTTACTGGAAAGCAGCCCATGGCAGAGAAAACCCCCGTTTTGTTCCACGTGGTTAGTAGCTCAGTATAGGACAGTCCCTTTCCAAACGGCTTCCTGGCCAAGTGCAAGTGTGATCCTAGAAGCAAAAAGTAATTTTCATTGCATTATTTAAAATCTGTTTGTTGTGGAGCACTATTACTTGATGAGATGAGCAGTCCTACAGCTCATGTCTCACGCTAATACTATTTTTCTCACCTTTCCTGCGTGGGGAGTGCTCCCCAGGCAGCTGCCCACCAGGCTGGACGTGTTGGGGTATGGCAGGAGTCCTGGCTCGCTGAAGTCAGCAGGCTCAGTGTCATCTACTTCATGGAAGCCTCTTTCACGCATGATTTTTCATAACTTTTTCTAAAAAGTGAAATATTTTTACTGAAATACTTCTAGAGCAAAGCCTATACGGAGTCCTGTCTGGTTGTCTGCCCCTAGCAGCTTGATATTTCAGTTTTGTGCGTAGATTTTGAGCATTGTGGTTTTAGTAATGGATTTTGCTTTTGGCTGATGCCCTGATTAAGGGAGTATGAAATTATTGTGACTTTTTTCCAGAGCCTAAAATAAGGCTCAGAGGACAGGGCTGTTTTTCCTCCTGAGAAGCTCTGTATATGCAGTCCTAATTCATCCGTGCACTGATTTCACTGAACATAAGGCCAGCTGAGAAGGTCAGAGGAGATGAGAAACTCCAGAAGTTGTCCATGAGTCCCCTATAATGATTTATTTGGGCTAATAGCAGTAACAAAGCTCTTCTGTCAGTACAAAAGTCGAAAGGCCTTACAGCCCTAAACTGGGGGACGGACTGTTCACATTTCTTTGGTAAGCAATTGACTACTGTATTTCTGCAGATTGAAAGCTCATTTTTTTTGACACCAGATTAATCAGTGATGAGAAGTAAAGGACTAACAAACTGACAGCTGAATTTCCCTCTGCCTGCTCTGGCAAGGACAGCACATGGCACAGAGCTCTGCTTTGAAGGTTGTAAAGGTTGTGAAATCCAGTCTTCAGACTTGCTCCTTTCTCAGTCTGCTGGGAGGCACCACTGAATTCCAGTTAGCCCTTATTGAGATGCAGACGCTTCCTTGCTCCTGAGAAATATACTTCAGCCTTGCAGACTCATTCCTGACAATGCACCAAGTGATTGCTGGTTTGGTCTGTATCTTGGTCGTTTCCCATATTTGCTGCGCTGAAGCCAATAAAATGGAGATAGTGGCTTGGAAATGTGGTTTCTCTCAAGTGTATCTCGGGCTGTATCTGCACTGTAGTCTTGCTGTAACTGAATCGCAGCGTAATTGCAGTGTAAATATGCCCATAATAAATTAATTATATTACTGCCAGCTGGTCATGGCAGCATGGACATTGGCATAAACTAACCAGCCCGGGATTTAATCAGCTTCTGATGCCTGTAGAAACAGCTCACTGGTACCTAAATTAACTGACAGGCTGCTTGAGGGAAACCTGCCTGAACTTACGAGGCACTGTTGGTAGACACAAAATCAGCACAACCCTAATAACTGCGTTTTGTGGGCAACTTTGCTCTTAGTTGTTCAAAAATATTCATGATTAAAACTAAGAATGAAAAATGTATCAGCATCATCTATCAAATACAAGAGGCGTTTGTAAGATTACTTGAAATCCATCTTGACAGCAGCATTTTTTCTTTGAATTAGAACAGGTTTTTCTTTTCTTTTTTTTCCCTTTGCTGTACGTAGGAAAACAGAAAAACTTGAATGTTTTGACATTTAAAACTCAAGATGATGTAATTTGGCAGCTGTGCCTCAGTGAAAATATCTGATATCTATATATAAACACGTATATTCAAAGAACAAGCCACAGTGTGTGACAGAGTAGTGCACTTTCAAATTTGTTTTTTAAGTCCTTTGTTTTGGCAAAGATAGATGTTTGGATCTGGAACACTTGTCATAGTTTCCAGAATTCCTCTGACCATTTATAATGTACATAAATAATTGAATCGAATAATAATCAGAGGGAAAGTTCAGAAACTCTGCAATTACTGTAGCTGAGATGCTGGGAAAGAAGTGCAAATGAAATTTAAAAAGCCGCACTAGGGTTACATTAGAGTTCTTGTCTGAAATTTGAAAGCAGTGAAATTCAGATTTAATGCTGCTGTCTTTTTTTTCTTAACCCAGTTCAGTCAAACTCTGTACTTGGCTTCTCTCTGTGGGAAGCACTGGTATGGATGAGAATCAGGTTTGGGAAGAACACTTTCAAAACAGTGCAGGTGACTTAGACTAAGTAGCTTTCAGAAGTGCTTCAGCATCTAAAGAAGGAAGGGGCTGATATCCAGAGGTGTTTTCAAGACATGCAAGTACCAAGTTCCTCTGGAAATCAGCAGGTTCATTTTAAGAATTCTGCCTGTCAAATTTATGTCTTTAGATGTCTGAATACTTTTGCAATCTGGCCCACCTCTTTTAAAAATGCTTAGAATAACCTGATTTTTTTTTCCTACTCCCCTCTACCACCCAAACTTTCAGTGGAACTTAAGACTGGCATGAGTTGATCTCTTCTGAAAATGGGCCCCTTAACCACATTTTCACCTTTGAGTCTAATTTGGAACTGATCCAAGCATCTACAGTTCTACCGAAAGCCCGCAGAGTGATGATGTGGTCCATGCTGTAAGGTCAGGTGAATTAATAGTTTAGAGTAACATGTAGGGTTTGCTTCAGCATTTGAGCAGAGAGTTATTGACAAGGGAGATGGAGAAGGAATTCTGCATGTTATGTAAAACAGTTAAATGGAGGATGTAAAATGAAATGGGTTTGATCTGTCACTTCATTCACCTTGCATGTTGGGATAGAGTTGCTTAGGACTAATGTTGATTTCCATATTATGTTCCCGTTAGATGGGGTCCAGGTATTAGTTGTTGCTTTTGCCAGGCTCGTATCTGAGTTTTTTGTCAGGGAGCAGCACGAGCAGGTTACTCTGTAAGGGAAGACAAGCCAGGAGCTGCAGGTGACAGCAAGGCAGGCAGGGGTAGAGACCTCAACAAGGAACGTGGTCCCACATTACCCAAACAAGAAAAGCAGAGCAGATTTGTTGAGGGTAGGCAGTTGGCAAGTCTGTAGTAATGAGGCAGGTCCAAGATCAAGGCCGGAAAGTCAAGTCAGGGGCAGGAGTGGGTCCGGTGACAGTACGAAGGAAATCTGCAGTGATGAAGCAGGTCTGAGATCAAACCACAAAATCAAATTGGTTAGTGAAGGGGAGCGTCCGGATGAGTGACGTACGTGGTCAGGCAGAGGTCAAGGGCTTCAGCTTCTCTTTTTACCTTTATTGCTTTGTGGTGATCTGGCAGAACAAGATACAAGTAGTTTGAAAGCCATTAGGAACCACCTTGCTGCCAGTACCTTCTAAACACTGTTTTATCTATCCTGTACAGCGAAACTGTTTGGAAAATGAATGTGTTGACTCATAATGAGGCATCTAATTTTTCTTGGCTACGCAATCGCTTTGGCTGACCTTGTATTAGTAATTATGGTACCACCATCATCATCTTATTGCAGCTTAGCCTTACAGCTGGCTTGCAAAGCAAAAACATTCAGGCATGCAACCGAGTCATTCTAGCTTAACAAATGTATTATGTGGATACTTTCTTTTCTG